GGGTCATGAAGAGTTGGACATGACTTAACGACTGAACAACAACAACAACAGTTGACTAACCTATGGATAAGCTATGAAGTTTAGTGCCAGATGGTGCCCTATATAGTAAAATTATATTCTTTTATGGGCATTCATATATTATGATATTGAGTGTCATTTTTTAATTATAACTTCAAGAATTAAATTTGTTAGGCAATCTGAATGTGGCATAATTTCCAGACATTTTGAGGTGGGAAATGTGAGGGAAAAATGAGAAATGAGCCTTTTAAAAGTTGTATCACTGTTTGAAAACAGCAAAATCTGAAACTGTCCCTAAAACCTCAGTCTGTCCCCCTCTCTACAGCTATCAGCCCTCTTAACAAAGGTAAGCATGCCCATGTCCCTTGACACCAAATGGTTACCCATTTCTGACCTATGACAAATAAATGAAAATTGAGGCAAAGAGAGGAGAATTTGATATTCACTAAAATGGCACCAAAGAGGGACAAGGAAGAAGAGGCCTGAATTAAAAGGCCTTTAATAACATGACTGACTTTTATGAATAGTCCCCAGAGAGATGCTCTCTGGTCAGTCACTCATGCCCTGGTCATCTTTCGGTTACACTATTGCAATGTGCTCTACATGGGGCTGCCCTTGAAGAGTATCTGGAAGCTACAGCTGGTTCAAAATGTGGCCACGCAGACAATCTTGGGTGTCCCAAGGATGGCAGATATAACACCTTTACTGTGGGAGCTGCATTGGGTGCCAGTTTGCTTTTGGGTCCAATTGAAGGTGTTGGTTATCACCTTTAAAGCCCTATATGGCTTGAGTCCAGGTTACCTGAGGGACCATCTCATCCCCATCACATCAACCCATCCTACCTGGTCAGGCAGAGGGGGCATGTTATGGACCCCGTCAGAGAATGTTGGCTGGTGGGGCCCAGGAGGAGAACCTTCTCTGCCGTTGCCCCCACCCTTTGGAATATTCTCCCCCCAGGCGGGCAGCTGGCTCCTACCCTCCTGGCTTTCTGGAAAGGACTAAAGACCTGGCTCTACCAGCTTATGTGGGGTGATAAGAGTTCTAATCAATCCTGGGGGTGGCTGGCACCCTGATGGCACTCCCTGAGCTACTTGCCAATCCCATCAATTCTTGGAATTTGTTTATTATCTATTTAAGACTGCTTTTATATTGTATTTTAATTGATTTTATCTTCTTTGTAAACTGCTCAGAGTTGCTTTTTAACGGGATGGACAGTGACAAATTTGATATATTAAATAAATAAATAAATAAAATGTATTCTTTTACAACATCTTTCAGAATCTCAGTTGAAAGACAATCCTGCCTTTTCCATGTTGAATGACTCAGATGATGATGTCATCTATGGGTATGTAAGGCTTGCAATAATGTCACTGATCACACTTTGTTTCTATAGTGTTCTGTAAAACAGATATTTTCATTATTTGTGTCAGACTTCTTCATTTTCTACATAAAAAACTTGTGCTGTCCCAGAAGTGGTTTTTATAATACAAACAAATGATAAGGAAGTGCTTGTGGGATGAGTTAGAAGAATATGAGGCTAAAGTAGTCATTGAGGCATAAATTGTTATACTGCTGCTGTGGATGTGAGTAAAGCTAGTAAGTTCCAGAATTTACCCTGTTGGCCTTGTACTTTTTCTGCTGCTCATGTGTAAGGCGTCATTCTGTATATGTATTTGGACAGGAGTGACTATGAAGAAATGCCACTTCAGAACGGCCAGGCTATCAGAGCCAAATTCAAAGAAGAATCGGACAGCGATTAAGTTTGCACAGGAACAGCCAGGAATATGGAACAAGAGTAATTTTACTTTTCCTACAGTCAAGTGAGCCTTGCTTTGGTGGAAATATGTCCTTTTTTCCAGTCATTTTTCTGTTTACAAAACTAAAATGCATGGGAGTGGGAAATGAATGTCTAGTAACATTTATTTTTAAGAAACTTGTGCTTTACCCTCCTCCCCTTGTAAAACTCAGCAACAAGATGCATTCAGGGATGGAACAGTTGAATCAGATTATTAAATCAAATATGCTTTGGGGGAGTCTTAGCTTATTATGGATTAAGAACTGAACGCTCCTGATTTCCTAATTGCTTCATTACTATTTACATGGAGATTAATACCCTGCATTTTAAAAATGCCAAAGTAACTTGACAGTTGCACATTGGAGCATCAGGACAATGCAACGCTCCCAACATCTGTAGATCCCAAACTTGGTTGGAGATTGGGCTGGTCTCCTTGGCCCTTGAGAAAAGAGCAGAATATTATTTCAGGGCTGCCTAGGTGACAACCCCCAGAACTCTAGTAGTAATTCAACACATACTTGTGACTTGAATTCATAAAACTGAGGTTTCTTCCTGTTATTTCCTGTTGTGGACAATTGCCACAGCAGCTCATTCTTTCCAGTGTAATTGTATTGTTTTAGAAGACAAAACAGATTGAGAGAAGGATATTTTGAAGCTGATTTATCTTAAAATAATGCTAACTTTCAGATGCATGGCAGTTTTGAATTAAAAGCAAAAACTTGCACCTCATCAGCTTCTACTGATGCTTTTTTTTTTTTAAAGGGAACATATAATTCAATCACACAATCCTCCTCCAGAAAATTTTTCTGAATATTTTAATAAATTGGATGTTATTAAGTAGTACTGTAGTTTAAAAACAAATACACAATAAATGTTGGTTATTTATGATGGATGACTACTTAAATGAGCACTTGCCCATTTTGTAACTTGCCAGGATCCAAAATGATGCTTGATTCGTTTTTATTGGACGAACACTCTATTGGTAAAGTAGAACTTTCAGATTTTCACAGAAACATTCAGATTACAACACTTTGGAAGAATTATTTGGCAAGATAATACGGTCATGTGACATTCTCTTAGAATGGCCTTTGCACTAGAAAAATAAACTACTGAATTTTAGCAGGCTACCTGGAATGATGATACTGGTTAACAGAGCATTAGAAATACCTTTTAACTCTTACCCTTAAATCTAAATGGATTCTGTGAATTAATTTCATTGGATTAACATACTTTATGGAATCTGAAAATTAATCTTCCTCTTTCTCAATCATTCTAGTAACAAAGACTTGATGCTCTTATATTAACCTGTGAAATAAAACTGAGTGATATGTAAGAATTAAAGCTCTGTTTAAATTGCAGGTAAAACTGAATGCATTTCCGCTGGTCATCCTTGAGGTTTGATAAATGTTCATTTCTTGCTTTGTGGGTCTTGTTCTAACATAGTTCATGCTTTGGGAGCAACCTAGTTGTTATTTAATTCATAGCCTCAATTAGAAAGCATTTCCCTTTGTGCTGAGGGAGAGAGTATTCCCTGCCCCATCACATGTAGATCTGGTGGTCCTTCAATGCACGCAAGAAATTATAGTAAGGAGATGCTTAATATGCATGCAGGACTCTGGATCCCAGCCATAGCCAAGTATGTGATAAAAACTGATATAATCCAAGGCTATTAATACACTGTAAATGATAGACTCCATTATTTTTGTAAGTACGCAAACACAGCACCTAAAAAGATGAAGTGCATTTTGCAGGTCAAATGTTCCAGATGTATAATTGTATGATCAGCTCAGTTTAATACTGTGTATCACTGTAAATCCTTCCCCATGTCTTTGGTGTTTTGTATGTGAGGGGCTCAGCTTTCCTTTATTGTAAATGTTTTAAATGTGCCAAGCTATAGTATATAATCTAAAGTGATAAGACTACATGCTTTCCTCTAATTTTTGTACTGCTGACTCATTGATGACTCGTGAAAAGTTGTTGATTTTTAAAGTATATATTGTTCTAGGTGATTTTTGGTTGCTTTTCTAAGGTTTGCACTCGTGTAAAAGGATTTAAAAAAAACCCTGTTCCTCCCTCTGTATTTCTGATATGCTGTGGAAGTTTCTCTAACCCCTCTGAGCACATTTGAAGTTGGTGACAGAGAAACCTGCAAGTAGATTCTGCCAGTGGTGTCTTGCTAACAAATGGTATTAGATATAACACTAAGGTTTCCAAGTTTTATTTAATGTGGTTCACAAGTTATTTTTTTCCTAAATTCATTCATCTTCCTCTAGAATTGTATATTCAATGCCCCTAAAATTCATTCAACCTTAGGTGGCTTTAGTTTTTAACTTGGTAAGTCAAAAACTAACGTTTTAGTTTTGTACTTGTAAGCTGAATATCATTGCAGCTTGCCTGCACTAATTCAAGCAAGTGAAAACATCTAGCAAGCATAGCATTATTTCCTAAACTTTTTGATCCCTTTTCCCTTATTTGCAAAATGTTTGCCTGAACATTGATATTTTTAGTAGATAATTAGAACTACCTATCCTGGATTTATTACTTTAAGGAGGCATTTGTCAGCAAGAAAATCAAGCACTTTCTTAAACCTCTCCCACTAAAACAATGAGAAATTAGAATTGGATTACACCATTGATCTTGTCAAATTTTCTAAACTGTAAACTTGTGTTCTTTATGAGCTAAGAGTTTTCTGATGAATTTGCCTGGATTAGTTTCTTTAAATGGTTTAGTAATTGCATGGGATGAATTAGGCACTTGTCCCTCTCTTTTTGTTCTTATTCTTGAAAAGAAATGAGTCCATCTGCATTTGCTTTAAAACCTTTTGCAAGGAACAAGTGTATTATTGCCTTTTTTCATATGTACTGTGATATTTTTCAGCTTTAGAAAGCTCAAGAGGGAACTGACAGAACACACAATATAGCATTTAACTGGGAAAATCCAATGGAGTGCCATCACTCTTTCTTGTATCTCATGCCTTACTGGCAATTGAGATTATCTTTCAGACATATTAATCACAGAACACTTTTGCATGCAGAGTGTATGATGGTGTAATTATACAGGATCTATTTCATCCTTTTAGCTAAGGGGATACTGAGACAGAACTCCTTCAGTTAAGGAGATTCACTTGGATACCTGTATATTTTCCCTGTACCCAGCTAGGGACCTGTTAGTAAAAGTGGAGGGTTTTACATACTACTCTCACTCATACTCTTTGGGGGTAGGGTGCTCATTGTAAAATGACTGCTCATTATTATGGGTACATCAGACTATCCCTTAATGTTCTGACTTTTTAGGTGGAGTCCAATAATTCTGATGTTAGTAGTAGGAATTTACCCCCCTCCCTAGCATGAATATTTTGTTTTAAAATGTCTCTGATGATGCCACATTTCCTCTAGTGAAAACAGCTGCTCTTTTAGTAGATCTATGATTGGACAGAATAACCTGATTAAAGCAGGAAGGAAGCAGATTGTGTAGGGAAGGGGGATAACATCATATTACACTGCCATGGAGCCAATCAGATGTAGCTTTTTTTACAACTGGTTAACCAAGAAAACATGTTTTCATAGAAATATTTGAGAAGGATCAAACTGAGGTTTTTTCAGTACAACCAAGAGCAGCACAACAGTTACCATTAACAGTAACATGCTTGGGAACTGGAAAACTTAGGTGGTATATTGGGAAAATGAATAGTTTTAATGGCAGTTTTAATTTTGATTCTGTGCACATTTATTCAGAAGTACATACTATTAAGCTTTAGGTTCACATTTGATGCAAAGCTTTGAGAAAAAAATACGTGAGACTGTGCAATCATTGCACTTAAGCTCTTTTTGTTGCATTTGTTGTCTTCTGTTCCACTTGTGCCAATATATATGGAAAAAATCCTTTCAACACTATTCAACAGATTTCAATATTTTTAAATAGAAGTAACATGAGGCAAATGTAGAAAAATATTTTATACCAACATGTGGTTGTGCTTTTTCAAAATGGATGTTTATGTTAATGAGTACATTTGTAAATTTAGTTTTGCTTGGGGAAGGGATATGCATGGTTTATTGTAATGTGTAATCTCCGTGCTTCAGGGAATCTGCTGTTTGTAATTATTATGAGTTTTGGAACATGAGACAGAATTTTCCCACAGCATAAAAATAACCATTCAATGTAATATAAAAGCTTTTCAGTAAATACTAGAGATAGTGCATAACAAAAATCATGAAATTCAATCTGTTCATAATAAAATTTTATACTGAACTTCTGTATCAATGTCAATTAGTCTTTCTTTGATTTGTCCCATGCTGTAAAGGGGAATTGCAGTCAAAACAAAATACCCAGGAAGCTAATGAGATTAGAAATAATTGATACTCTTTCAGAATCTCAACATTAATAGTACCAGACTGTTAAAAGCTAGGAGGGTAAAGATACCTTCAAATTAAACTCAGTTCCTGATTCATATGGACACACTGGTAGCATTTTTTTTTTGAAAAAGATGGGATATTTTTAAAATCATATGGACTTCCCTGGAGGACTCCGAATACTAACCTGGCCTGAGTCTGCTTAGCTTCCAAGACTAGCCAAGGTCAGACATTTGTTTCCACCGGCTGAGATCATGACATTATCCTCATTTCTACATCTGCAAGTTTTAGAAATGCACATACACATATTCAGAGCTTCAATAATTTAATAACAAACGAAACTAGAGTGAAAATCAGTCTTATCCACACAGGCTGGAGTAAAGCTATAGAACTGCAGCAAGTTTCAGGTTTTAGCACCTTGAGAAAGAGTCCTTAAAGTGTTAAGACAGAATTTGGATGTGAACAAGGAATAAAGTTTACATAACAGCACTGAAATTTCTCTCCTGTTTTTTCATCAGAAGGAATAAGAAATTCTTAGTTATTCACTGAATTCACAGTTTTAGTGGACTTAAAGCAATGACAAGGTCTGAAGAATTTCAAGGCAATTATATTGCAAGTCCAAAGGCACTGACAATACAGTACATAGTCTTGTTCTCCCATCTCACCGTGCAGGCTCCTACAAAAAAAAAAAAAAACAACCACCACCATTTAGGATAGTCACATAAACACAGGAGATAGATTAGTGCATCCATACTGTAATCCAGGCATTTAAGTCTATGGCAAAGCTCTTCATAAGTTTACGTGGTACTTATAGACAAAGAGTAGTAAACTCTAATGTTATTTAAACTGTTTGGAAGCACAACTGTTTATAGAGTTTCCTATATCACTTAGTCTAGAACAGTAAGGGAGTAAGTCGTCATAGCCATGACCCATGATCATGTGAATGCACTGGAATCAAAAGTTTATAGGTGCAATGCAAACAATTTCACCCAAAAGAAAGAGCTCCCAGAGTTATACAAATTCTCTGTAAAATACTTTAGCAAGGCCAATTTTGAAAGAGTCTTATACCATCAGCAGTATTGTCCCAGAAACAAGAGTTTGCAGTGTGAAGTCCAGCACCATTTTTTTGCATAATCACACAGGTCACTGTAAATTATAGAGATAAAGCACTGTTAGAAAAAAGCATCTGTCCATGCAACACAATTATATCTGGTTCTGCAAAAGATATACATGTGGTATGACCACACGTGTTTAGACTAATTACTATGAGAATCTCCCCGCTCAGCTTCAAGCTTTAATTTTATTTGAAAGCATCTCTGAAAAGTCTATGATAAAACTGCATTAACTTACCAACATATTTGAATGGTTTCCCCAGTTTTGTCAACTGACTTAAAATCTGCTCTACAACAGTTGTAGTCCATTGGTTCACTTTGCTGTGCAGATATGCATTGCCACCTATTGTCCCTTCTATGGCCTAGAGAAAGAAACAGATTACTCTCACATCATTTAATTCCCACAGCCCTATTTTAAAATGCATACATCAGTTTCAAAAATCAGAATTGGCATGAAAACTTTTTTTCTCCATTAGTTCAACTTTCACAAAAACAGATATAAGTACACCTTCCCCCCCCAATATTGATGATAACGACATATATCCTTGAACTCTTATTGTGGGGATGAACTTTCTCCAAATTCAAGGCATTGGGGGAAAAAAACCCCTATAGATTGATAATGGTAACCGATAGCATTCTGTACATATAACTACTAATTTTCTTGGTTAAAGCAAATGATCTGCATTTTCATACTGAGATGACTTGAATGTTAATGAATTGTGTAAGATGAGTGAACACTGTTGTGGTCCAAAAAGCAATGAAGCTGACAAAATACTTTTCTTAAGCAGTCTGACTGTACATAATTAAATCTCAACATAACATATACATTAACCCCAAAAACCGCATCTTAAGGATATAAGCCTGAAATCCTTTGGAAGACATCTGCAGTACTTTCCTTGATGGGGGCGATCTGACACCAGAACCTCCCCTTCAAGGCCAGCTCTTTCCAGAAAAGACTAAAAGGAAGAATACTTGAGGAATGCAAGAACATTGGAGGGAAGAATATTCAAATTAAATCAAATATTTATTATGGTCAAAGAACAGCAGGGAAGATTAGTCTACTAGATTAAAAGTTCATCCAACCTGCCCCCAAGCCCACATGCTATTTATGCCAGTCTTGGAGCTGGAATAAAGAGATTCTCTACTGGTTTCAATCAGAAGGAATCACCTGAAAAAGTGGGGGAAGGAAGACCACCTACAGAATACAGCAGATGTGGATTGTTCCTTTCATTTTGCTAGTCTATTGTTCTGGACTTGGTGAATGTTTTACAAAGAAAAATAGGAAAGGATTCCTCTGCCTATCAATTTTCTTGTAGTGAGGGGTGAATGGGAAGACCATAAAGCAAAAAAGATTATTATTCTGGATTCCTCTAAATTTTGTTCTTAACTCATTCTAGTAACACTAGAAATGTGCAGGTGAGATTCATATGTATTTGTGTGTGTTCAAATGGTCTAAAAATGAGTACAGTGAAGAACTACATCAAAATGTAATCACAAAACTAATATAAAATCAAGCTATCCACCGTTGTCCAATTAATTCTCTGTGAGCTTAATAACAAATTGTCTAGTTCTATCCTTCAACAGTACTTCGGTTAAAAATGTTAACAAAAACATCTTTTAAAACATGCAAACTTTCACAGATGCCCTGCTAAATGCCATTCCACCATGAATCTTTCTTATTCTTTACTCTGCTACCCTAACTGTATTGCCATTAAAGGTTCAGGGACAAAAAAGTTAACTGCAATTTCATTAAAAGCAGCAGGCCAAAATAGTGGATTAACTGGATTCATATAAATGTTACATACCCATCACACTTCTTTGGGCATAAGCAATGTTGTACAAAATCAAAAGGGAGGCTGCCCTCTCTTCTTTTTAAAAGCTGACCTGCGAGGGGAAACTCACCTCTCAATTGGTTTCTCAGAGTTTGATTTCCCTGGGATTCAGTTGCTTGTTGCCTGTTATCTGGAGGGACAAGTCAAACTAACTTTCCTTTAACCCCTTCATTGTCTGAAACTCTTGATGTGGAATTTCCCCACATTCGCTAAATAGGTTAAAACCCTTATTCCTACCTATGCCACTTGCTAACTATAAAAACCGTGTTGGTTACTTTACGTGTATTTTGGCAAATATACAGCGAACACAAACACATCCCAGTTCTGTCAGAAGATACACGTGCAAGTATGCAGGCAAGGAACTCTCATTTTGAAACTATCTTGCAACTCAGGATACTGTTGTTTGCATCCCATCGATTAGGAAGTTTGTGCAAAAGGCTCTTGTGTTAATATGCAGATGAGAGTTATATCCCATTCCACCATCTGGCGTTGCCTCCCCTTGGACTGGCTTCCATTAATAACAATTCTACTTGGTCACTACAATACCTACATGGCACAGGGGCTGGTTACTCAAGCCTGTCTCCCATAGTATCTGCCTGGCCAATGTCATCTTTAGGGACCCCAGAAGCGTGCCTTCTCTGTAGCAGTACTTGCCCCCTGGAAAGAGATTCTCCCAAGATCCAGATGGCCCCCACTCTGCTGTTGTTTAGAAGACCCATGAAAACCTGGCTCTTTGCCCAAGCCTTTGGAGAGGGAGAGCCCTTGTTTCCTTTCCCTCCAGTTTGTCGTTCTTGCCATCTCTTCCTTTTAATTGGTGTTATGGTCATTTCTTTGTTTTGATTGTTGTGAGCTGCCCAGCATCTTGGGAATTTGGCGGCAAACAAGATTAATAAATAAAAATAAATAAATTTTAAAAAATCTATTTGTCTGTAGCAGGAGAGGAGAAACAGCATAACCTACTGCATCAGCCCAAATGGGATTAATTATTCTCTTCCAGCAACAACTAAATCTTTCTACTCTAGTCTCAATATATACTAGCCAAAACTAATGCCCTCTTAGAATAACACGGGTCTCATCACAGCATTCTTACATTGAGATTATGCCTACATATTTAGTATGTCGAGTCTCTGTATTAAGAAACAGTCATTCACTGCATAATGTCAAGTCTTGGTCAGTTGGTGCTTTTTTTCCTCTGAAGAATTTTTAAAATTGACAAACTTTCACCGAGGAATATTTAACATTTGAATATTAATGGAAATCACAGAAATGAGTGTTTCTTACAGAGATCATGTGCACAGACTTACTAAATTACCAACAGTAATTTTATTTTTAAAAAGATACCTTGCGCTTTCTGTATTGTAATGCTTAGCATAACAGGGCATGTCCCTAAGCCTTCTCTTAATTGTCAGGGCAGTTGCCACAACAAGAGATTAATAAACAAGACCCTGGTACCTTGACAACTATTAACCAGACTATAATCTGCCCTAAAACCATGAACTAATTGATTCTATAGCTACAAGTTGCTAACAATTTGTTCCTGAAGTTGGGATTTAAGGGGGCAAAACAGTCTATTCTGTTTGAGTGACCCACAAGCACAGTAACCATATTTGGTCCCACCAGTATTATTCATCTAGATTTAACAGGTTACAAATTAGGTTAGAGGCCAGCTCAAATTATATCAGACAAAGCCCAAAACTGGATATGCTAAATCATTTCAGACAATAGTAATATTTTTATGAATGCAGTTCTCTTAGGGCATCAAAAGATATATATTGGCTGGGATTCAGAGACCCATATGTACATGCTCATGATTTCCTGTTGTGTTAACCAACATTATGCAAAACATAGAAAATAAGTCAGAAATGCTGGTGCTCAGAAATGGAATATCTGCCTGATGTCCAGGAGATTTCCTGTTTTCTATTTATCTTGGGCTATAGCTGCCTGGCCCTCTCCTCCACAGACAGGGACAGGAAATAGAGAACTTTAAAGTCCACCAAAAATGTGACTAGAAGGAATACCCAAGGGATTTCCAGAGTCTCTATCTCATTGTATGCAGCTCCTTTCAAACCCTGAAAACCCACTCCTGAAGATAAAAGTGCTCCCCCAAAGAAGAATTTGATGCAGTTAAAACAGTAGTCCATCTCCATTTGCACAAACATTTTCCATATACACTAAATATTATTTTGTGAAAGCAGCATACTTTCTGTTGTTTAGTTCTCAATATTTTTATGTAAGAACCCTACAGCGTTACTTGAAAGTGGTTTTATAGTTAGGGCTATTATGGAGCTAAGTTACCATTTCTTTGAAATGTCTCAAATGAAATAGCAAAATTTGTACTGAAATTCATGAGATTCCAGTAGAATATGGCAAAATGTAAGGTGGACTTTGCTACCATTAGATGGATACAGAGCTGGGTGAACAACTGTATTCAGTGAATGAACTTGTTACTTTGGACAGGATCATGTTTCTTCTAAAGGAGGTTATTTGTGACTGGTGGGAGTGGGGGTTCTCCCAGGCTCATGGCTCCTGCTTTAAAAGCAGCGGAAACCCTAGTCAGGGGAACGTCTGTCCAATTCCAGGTAGCGTGTGAGTTTCAACCCTTACCTAGACCAGGATGACCTGGCAATTGCAACCCATATCCTCATCGTAATTTGGCTGGAATGCTGCAACATACTCTATGCAGAGCAGCCTTTGGAGATGATCTGGAAGCTGCAGGTGTTTCAGAATGTAAGAGCCAAACTACCAGCGAGACAAACCCACTATTTTTGTGAGGTATACTAAGAAATGTTCATATAATTATGCAAGATATCATTCCCATTAATAAGTGGACTTATACTTAAAATTTAGTGCAATGTTTATTTCTCACACTGTAGAAGTGACATATTCCTCTTTCTTAAGGGAGTTACAGTGTTGTGCAAACAGCTTGTTTGGTACTGTGAAAATATAAAGTATTAATAGAGTCAGTTAACTGGCAGAATCACCTTCCTGAAAGTAACTCAGCTGAGGAATACAGCAGATGTAACAGAGAAGCAAGACTGTATTAATGTATAAGGGGATATAAACTTACCTCTTTTATAATGTTGCTTACTTCGTCCACAACAAATGCAGTCTTTAAAAAAAGGCAGAAATAATATTTAAATTGCATTATGCAAAACTGAGAACAATATCCCTGCAATAAATACTTTACTCATTCAAGTGAGATAGGATCATGTATCTGAGCACCTACAGCTTATTTTGACTTAACAGGACATAGCACTATCCTAACTCCTCACAAAGAAGCAAGGAATAGATGCTTCACATTTCCTTAAGCGCATCAATGAGAGATGTGGCAATATAATAGCCAACAGGATAACAGTCCACCGGAGGCCTGTGAAGATCCAGCTCTTCTCCCAAACATTGGGCTAGGATGGGGGTTGAGCTGGGAGGATGTTTGGTCTAAAATGGGGGGGCTAAAAACTCTTGTTTTTAGCCATGTTTTAGAATCTTTGTATGAAATAGGCAGCCATATAAGTCCTGTAAATAAATAAATCATACACAGTGCAGACATTATTCACAGAAAAGAAACGGGCCATTTTCTCACTCAGGGAGGAATCATTTACTACAGGCACCATGGGTGCAACCTAACGGGTTCCCTGCATGCCCAACAGAGATCTGTTCTATCTCATTGGGGAAGGAGGCCGATTTTTATTTTTTAAAAGTCTGAATTCTAATGTGAGCTAAAAGAAGAGTTCTGATTTAGTAGCCGCGCAGAATTATATACCTAAACCATCGCCTTCGCGTATCCCGGGGAAGTGCAGCGCCGCCGTGGAAGGCGGCCGGGGTGTGAATGAATGGTATGGCGGGGCTCTTTCTCCGCCGCCTTGTGGAAGGCGCGTCCAGAAGGAATGGGTCAGAGGCGAGAAAAGCAGATGAGTGGAAACGTGGGAAGAGGAGCAACAATGGGAAGGGGCGTTGTCTCGACCGGGGAGGCTACGCGGAACCTCTCGTTCTCCGGAGGTCTGCTACAGCAAGGCCTGGGACGAAGCAACGTCCCGTCCTTTCTTCCCACGTCCCAGGACGAGATTCCCTTCGCTCCGGAGACGCGTTACCTCCTCGGCAGACTGGAGCTCATCCATCGTCCTCCTCCTCAGCTCAACTCCAACCCCGCGCGTTCGTTGCCACTACGCGACGAACACCTTCCTCCTTCTGCGGCTGCGCAGTGCGGTCGACACGTTCAGCCAATCATCCGACGCGGACAGGCATACCGGAGAGATTGCTGGGCTACGCTTTCTGCTGGGCAGCTGCGCGCTGGCAGAAACAGGCTCTCGTGTTTTACCACTTCCTGCTTGTGACGTACTTCCCGCGAGGAACTGTGCGGGCTTTGTTCGCAGCCGCGATAGTAGAAGATCAACACTTCCTGTTTGATATCCAATCCTCGTGTTTCCGAGAAGGGAGGGTGGTAGATGTGCATCAGTGTTTTCCAACCTTGGCAACTTTAAGACGGGTGGACTTCAGCTCCCAGAATTCCCCAGCCAGCATGCT